AATACAAAATTTGATAATTATATGAGCTGATATGACATTAGTCAAAGTCCAGTCATTGATTTTGATTTTTTTTTATATGTATCATTATTTTATTCGAGACACTATCAGGCATTAAATATAGACATTTTTTTCATAGGAGGTTCGAATATTAGTTTGCACATTACGAATGATTAAAATTAGCATCACTGATTTTGGTTCTTAATGTTAAGAGTATTTATTAGGAATTCCCTTATATAATAGATGGGCAGAAAAAAGGGAGTAAAATTTATTACTCTTTTTTTTTTTGCCAGGGGGTAAAACTAATTACTACAGAAGTATTTTTAAAATAAATGTAAATGTAAATATAAATATAATTATATTTTTCTTGCGAAACAAATGGATCGTTCCTGAAGTCTCAGGGACTGATAAAAATTCTTACATGGCAAAGTGCAATCGAGTTGTGCGCCAAATGTATGGAGTGTGTTGGTTGTGCATAGACGCATCGTCCCCACCAGAGCTGCCACGCGCTTACTCGTTATCTTCTCATCCCTCCGTTTCCATCTCTGTTTCTCTCTCATGTCTTCTTCTATCACATTCATGCCATACCACAAGCACGCTCCTCCCATGGCCTCCTCCACCCTCTTGTCTTCTAACCCTAGGGTTTTCTCTTCATCCATCTCCGATCATCATCATCATTGCTGTCCTTTCTCTCAATCTCCCACCGTCCCCAAATCCTTCAGTGGCCTCTGCAAACCTTTCCATTCTCGGGTTCCCACTTCGATTCGCCGTCGAGGCTTCGTTGTCAAGGCTACGGTGAGTTTTGCTTCCAACCCCACTTATTGTTTCCTGCTTGGTTCTGTGTAATGACCCTCAAGTTGCAATTTTTAGTGAAAAAATTTGGTTTTTGTGTAGCTGTAGCAGGAAAAGTTTCTTGACGAATTGCTGATTTTTCCTTAGCATAGTTTCTGCATCTAAAATGCTACTCCTCCGGTCCTAAATATAAGACCTTATACGGAGGAGTATTGATTTTCATCTGTGTTGGTCTAAAATTGATCGTTTGTTTGTGTTGAAAATGCATATTTACTCCCGTTAAAGTTGCAATACTGGGAGTAAGAATTGGTACTGGTAGTTGCGTCTTTGTCAGATATAGATTACCTTTAACTGAGAGTCCAGAAAGGCATAAGAGATTCAACCACTTTTCAATCTTCATTTTGGTAAAGTTGCTTGAGCTACCTTGAAATTTCTTGAATGTAGAATATTTTGTTTTCAATTCTATTTTGCTACCTAACCATGATACTTTTTTAATTTACAATACTCAATCCTTAGGCTTTGATTAGGGGATGGCGTTCCCATTGATGACTTCAAAATATCTGTTGTACAAAGTAGAAAACTCAAATTCAATTGCATAAAAGATTTTCACTTTAGGAAAAAAGGTGAAAGCATAAGGGAGTACAGCTAGGGTGCTGGATGTCTGAATTTAAATTTTTAGAATATCCTGTTTGATGTGAATATGATCAATACTTCTAGCCTGCCCCAAACTAATTTAGTTTAATGATAAATCTACGAAGGTAATAAGTTCTCTGAGGCGAAATTTAAACTTCCTCTTGAATAACCTCTTATTTGCATATGAGCTCATTTACATTCCTTGTAAAGAGAACTTGCTCTCGAATTTAGCACCAGAATTTTAGGCAGATGCTTTTTCCCCTTTGACTTCCCAATTTCGTCTGTGTTTACAGTTTCCTTTGCCACATTAGTCTCGAGTAATGCATTTTAGTTTCATTATTAGGATATCTCATTGATTTCTTTTGTCTGTATTAATGGATAAACTGCCATCAACTTAAAATTGGCCTAACTTGGTTGTATTCCAGGTTATAAAGTGGCGATGTCCAAAGCAAATTCTCCCTCCCAACTGTGACACTGATTTCCAGAAGAAAGTCCTATATCTAGAGTCAATTGGTATTGACTCTTTCTCACTTATTGAAAATCATCCAACCATCATCTCTGCCTCTCTTCCTAATATAAAATCCACTGTGGAATTCTTGACATCCATGGATTTCTCTGCAATTGAGTGCCGGCGCATTGTTGGCATGTGCCCTGAGATTCTCACATGCAGAGCATCAGATCTTTTACCTGTCTTCACCTTCCTGATCCGTGAAGCTCGAGTGAATGGATCAGATATCAAGCGTGTCATAAACCGTCGTCCCAGGTTGCTTGTCTGCAGTGTTACTGGGCAACTTCGTCCCACCCTGTACTTTCTCCAAAGCATTGGCATTGAAGAAGTAAACAAGCACACGTACTTGCTATCATGCAGTGTTGAAGAAAAGCTTATTCCCAGGATTGATTACTTTGAGAATATTGGATTTTCTCGCCGTGACGCAACTTCAATGTTTCGAAGATTTCCTCAGCTGTTCAACTATAGTATTAAGAACAATTTGGAGCCTAAATACAAGTACTTTGTGGTGGAAATGGGGAGAGATTTGAAGGAGCTGAAAGAATTCCCCCAGTATTTCTCGTTTAGCTTAGAGGGTAGAATCAAACCTAGGCATAAATTGTGTTTAGAAATGGGGGTGTATTTTCCTCTCCCTGTATTATTAAAGACAAACGAAGCGCGATTTCGTAATAGATTAGATGTATGTGTAAATTCTTCTACACCCTTGAAAACATCTCCTTTATGGTGTTCAAATTGTGAAGTTAGTTAAATATATAAGGGAAAAATCTCATTACATTGTACATTTTTGCATTATTTTCCAGTTCATATGATACCATCTGTATATTTTGTTTCTGAAACAGTGTCTACTGTCTCAACTGTAATCAAAGTGACTCCAACAAGAAATGTTTTCTCACTTGCCTGAGAGGGATATAACTTGATATTTTTGTCGCACCGGTTGATATCTCGCTAGAATTATGAATCAATTGCGTACTCTCTTTTTCACAAGGAGGGAGGGAGGTTCCTCCAAGTTCTTTTTTCTTCATATATATATATATATATATATATATATATATATATATATATTATTTTAAAGATCATAAGTTATGTAATTATGAGGTGAATCAAAACAAAATGTATCAATGTAAATATAACAAAGAAACCTTAATCATGAAAGCTGCAAAGAAATCTTACTCATGAAAACTACGAAGAAGTCTTACTCATGGAAACCAGTTGGTAAATAAGTAGCATACAGAAGAAGCAATTATCCACAATGTATCAACATAGAAGAAAAAAGCACATAGTGGAGACAACTATGAAGTAGGTTATGTAGATAGAAGAAAATTTTGCGACACGGGAAAAGGAGAGAGAAGCCAATCTGTTTGCCAACACATCATCAAGCCCTTCTGCACACGATCTTCAGATTGCCTCTCTGTCAAATAATCCTAACAGGAACATTGGAAAAGGAAGTATTACTACGAATGAATTCTGTTTCCATTGCCTCAAAGAACCGTCAGGCCAGGCCATATCAATTTAGCAATAACTAGTGATCACAATGTGATTAATTGGAAATGATAGGGAAGCACTATCAAGAACCAAGAAAGTACACCCATCAGGCAAAAATTGATTCAGATTTTGAAATGGCAAGTACTGCTTTATAAATTTCAAAAAATTTCTAAATTAACAAAACTTGGTCATTTGGTAAAGAAAAGAAACTGATCTAATGGAATAAGTTGACAGAAACCACGCAGAAAATCCATAAAGAAAGAAGAGAGAAACAGACCTCGCTGGAAAAAAATGATCCAGGTTGAAATTGCATGTACTGCTTCCTCGTTGTCTTTTCCTTTGGAGCTTTATTGTGCGATGCACTGGGACGCCCATTCGAAGGACAAAGAAAGGAGTCATCTTTCTCCAGAAAAGATAGAAATCGAGGATGAACCGAAGTTATTGTTTCCTCCTTAGTTGCTTCATGCGTCAATGGTTGTCCTCCTCCTCCGTAGTCATCTTCTTCTTCTTCTTCTTCCTCCTCCTCCTCCTCCCTTTCTTCTTCGTCTGCTTCAGCTTCTTGTTTCACAAATAAATCTTCGAGAATCGATATAAGTGCTTCTCTGCGATAAAATCTGTTCTTGAGGGAAGCGCCATAGCCTCCAGCGTAATAAGAATAAAGTTTCTTGGATCCTTCACCGCGAGAAGATTTCCTTCCCATCGTGATTATTGCCCACTACTTGAGTTTCAGCAGCAATCTTTCTCCACTAACATATACAGCGTACACTGAGATATATAAGTATGGATGATGTGCATGGGGTGCAAGGAAATGAAAAGATCCTTTTTGTTCGCGAAATTACATATTAGGACAAAAATTTCAACACATTTACGCTAAACAATTTCTTAAAATCGTAATTATTTATTAACATGAGCATTATTAATCAAATTTATTAGTATTTTTTTTCAAATGGCTTGAAAAATAATTAAACTTTCTAAATTACTTAAATATTTTTTAAGGTATGAATTCTTGGGGTGTATGTGAGTTTCAATAAAATGTTTTTTCATTGGTAAAGTCCTTCTTCTGCTAAGAAAGTTTCTGAAATTTATAATTATAAAATTAGTATTTTGATCTTTAAAGTTAAAAAAAAAAAATACTCTGTGTATAGGACAGAAATCTGGGAAATCGCTTATACTATTAATAATTTAATTAATTTTAAAAATTGGACTTTCTAGGGTAAATTTTAGGCTGATATATGTACAAGGTATTATTAAACATTTATTAATGCTTTTGGTTTATTTAAATATACTGATATTATTCTTCTGATTTAATTTGCGCACTGTATTATTAATTATAGGCTAAATAAGTGAATAACTCTTCACGGTCCATGAACGTTAAGGGTAGTTTCGTCTTTTGAACATTTCTCCCCCGCGCTCGCAAGGACGCTATGAAAATATGGGTACATTCCGTTATTACAACCGAACTTCTTCCCGCTTCTTCTACTTCATCATCATCATCATCTTCTTCTTCTTCTCCTCAAAATAAGGCTTCTTTCTCTGAAAAGAGAAATTGTAGGGTTTAGCAGAAATAAGCAGCAACCCTAAGCCCAAAATGCCGAGTTGCTTCAGTGTGTATGTTGCGCTGGTTCTTTTGATTCCCGTGCTTCTTTCTCTGCGAAACCCAAGAGGTGAAAGTGAACAACATGCCTCGATTAGTTTTTCACCTCCTTTCTCTTTTTCAATCTCTTCACTGTCTTCGAGGGATGCTTCCGTCGCTTTTTCTTTCAGCGAGAGGATACGAGATGGGTCCAATTTAGAGTACGATTTTTACCGGGATTCTTGCCCTGAGGCTGAAACCATTGTCAGATCAGTCGTGACTCGCATCTACTATGATCATAAGGACATTTCACCGGCTCTTTTGCGTCTCTTTTTCCATGACTGCTTCATTGAGGTACTTCATTGCCGCGCAAATGTATTATTTTTGTAAATCGGTGTGTTCTGTTTTTCTTCCAAGATCGTGAGTTCTGTCATTTTCTCACCTGCATTCAAATGGGTCTTGATTCCGTGTCCATCGTTCTGGTGTATAGCAGATTTCTATTCTTTCTTGGTATTGTATAGATGTATCAGTACTCTTTAGGATTTGAGGTTTCTTTTCTCCTTGATATCTCCATTTATTATGCGTTTCTCACTGGTTGCGAATTTTACTTTTTTTTTCATTCGGTCCATCATCTCAATTTTATTGTTAATGAACATGCATGATATGTGACTTGACTTTTCTTGATTTGAAATGGTCATGGTTTGGCGTTCCTAATGTTTCGGTTTTGTCAAAATCAGGGCTGTGATGCTTCAGTGTTGTTGGATGATAGCTATGGTAAAAAAAACCGATCGATTGAGAAACAGGCTCTTCCCAACCAGACTTTGAGAGGCTTCGATTATGTTGACTTGATTAAGAAGGAGCTGGAACAAACATGTGTCGGGACTGTGTCCTGTGCCGACATTCTTGCTCTTGCTGCAAGAGATGGCGTTGTTTTGGTTTGTTCCTCTGCATCTACTTCTTATGTTTTAAGGACTGGTTAATCTGATGACTATACTGGTGATAAGCCAAGGAGATATATATGTTAATAATGGCCTCGTGCATTTTGGCTTTACATGCAAGTCAGAAAACTGTTGTCTTTTGCTTTCATTTCTATTTGCCAGATAGTAGTAACAAGTCTTTGCTTTGTTATCTTCATCCAAACAATATTTATCTTGAAAAATCATGTGATGAAAAACTTCTTCTCAATTCGTTTCAACTTAAAACCGAGATGTTATTCTGTGCATTGCATAAAGTTTAAAGGCTAAGTTACACTGTTCGTAATTTATAAATTATGCAACTTGTTATTGTTTTGGTATTTTATGTTGATATTGATTGGCTTAGGATTAGGCTGCTTCTTCTTCTTGTTTTAGTAGTATTGATTAGCTTAGGATCTCTTTTAAACCTTTGGTACTTTTGGCCAATTTTTTTCCATATGTATCCATGAATCTTACTATTTAGATTCAGTTCTGGTGTTTAAAAGCTCGAATAGATATTGTTACCTTCAATGTACGTAAGCATTTTTGCAAGGACGCAGTAAATTCAAATATTTGACGTTTTCTCTCTTTTTACATTTATTAAGTTCTGCACTGAAGCTTTGATGTGTTTTCTGGACTTGGCCATGGCAGGCTGGTGGGCCTTTTTATCCAGTTTTGACAGGAAGAAAGGATAGCTTTCAATCATTTTATGAGGAAGCAAATAATCAGATTCCAAGACCAGATGATAACATTAACCAAACACTACGCCTGTTTGCTCTCAGAGGATTCGACGAAAGAGAAACAGTCAGCCTTCTTGGTAAAAATACAAGCTAAATCTACATCTTTCTGAACTGAAATACAACATTAGTCATAAGGTTTGTTCTTTTCTTATAGGAGCACACAACATTGGGAAAATTGGCTGTGATTTCATCAAGCAACGACTGTACAACTTTCACGGCACAGGAAGACCAGACCCTTCTATCCCTTCTGATTTCCTGCATCAGATGAGAATAAATTGCCCAGACAAAATGAACAGTAGTGATGATAAGGTGTCAGCTGCTTTCTTCTCCAGGAGGTTGAGTCAGTCTGATCTGGGGATGTCATACCTGCAAGCATTGTCATCTTCAGTATCATCTGGGTCAAAATTTGACACACACTACTATGAGAGCTTGCTAAGGGGAAGAGGACTTCTGTATGCTGATCAGCAGCTGATGGCTGACGACAAGACCGCTAGACTGGTTTCCGCTTATGCTTCAGATGATGGATCAACCTTCCGCATGGATTTTGCTAGGGTCATGTTGAAAATGTCTAATCTAGATGTTTTGACTGGGACTCTAGGTGAAGTTCGTCTGAATTGCTCTCTACCTGTAAGAAGAACAGTATAAGAGACCACAGATCAGTCATGCTTCCTCAGGCTTTTCAAATATTTCATCTGGACTTGTCACTGCGTGTGCTTTCTCTGTTTTGCATCTAGGAGTTGTGCCTAGGGCTTTATTTGTTGTCTTTCCTGTGTAATGCAACAGAGAATTAAAGTGACACGCTGGAAATGGACTTAAAAGTCGTATAAAGTTTCGTATTGTATAATTCCTCTCTTTTAACTGTAGAGATTCTGGTACATCACCTCTCGCAATGAAGTTTCATGCTATGAACAAGTTCACATCCTTTTTTGACATGTTGTTCCATTTTTTCCCTTTGTTAACAATTCATTTTTGCTTTCAGAATTAATATTATATTAGCCAGCAGCCTATTGCCACTTTAGATTTTCAATTTTTCAACTCATATGTATACATGCATATTTATGCACTGATGATTAATGGGATTTGCTTAAGAAATTTCTTTCTCCTTACGGACTTTCTATAAACCAAAAAAAAAAACTTCAAATATTTTTACCAGAAAAAAGAGGGGAAAAAAGCCTGCTAATATTATCGCATCTCATGTAAATACAAAATATATATATTGATTAGTGATATTTTTTTTTCAGAATGAGATCAGTTAAATTGGATACTTAACTACTTGTATTTAATTTTCTTCGAGAAACAAATTAAATATTAAAAGCTATTTAGTAATTCCAACGGCCAAAAGCAAATAGACTGTTGACCAGGATTTAATTAGGATATAGATATCATATGAGTCATGAAGAATTGTCCTTTGGAGGTTGCTTTCATGGCTTTTCTTCAAAATTTGAGGCAAAAAATTGTCAAAGTTGATGCTACTAAGTGGAGATTAAGTATATCCAACTTGTCCCACTTGCCTTTTATTTGTTTTTACTCACCAGATTGTTGCTTATACCAACTTTTCTTTTCATGTTTCACTTCCCACGTATTTTGGCCAATTTCTTGGTATTAATTAAATTTTTAACCACTAAGTTGGATTCAAGTCAAATTAATCCTAATTATTTTAGTTGGCAAAAAAATCCTAATTCTTTTAACATAATGTTTTCACCCATGTACGAAAACTCATAGCCACCCTCAAACGATTATACAACCTCCAGTCTTAGTTGTAAGAACTAGTTGAGTAATTTGAAGAGATTAAGAAAATAAGCTAAGTTAGTTATTTATAATGAATAGGTGTTATCTTTTCTAAAATATCATTGCTAATCAAGTATATTAGCTAGAATTATCACTATTAGAAGGACTTCCTTGAAAAAAAATACATAAATATGAGAGACAAAATAGATTGGGGTGGATCAAAATAAAAGTCAAATGATATCTTATATTAAAGACCGGAGGTAGTACTTTTTATGTTAATAAAAGGCAAAGGTATGTGGTGGTTTGATTTGTTATTTTTAAAAAATATTATATTATAAAACTTGATATATATATATATATATATATTATATACACCTAAAAAATGTTATTATTTAGGGCATAATAATGGTAGGTGGGTGGGCACGCATTATGAGAGAAATTGAACTTGTGGGAGAAGATGAATGAAAATGTGATTAATAATGTCCCACATTTCAGTATCATTGTTATAGGTAGAAGAAGGACCCACAAACACTAATTTCAGGCCAAGTTTCAAAGATATCCATAACATCAGCAAATCTTAATCAGCTTTTCTTCATTATTTCAAACCAATTTTCAATAATTATATATAATATTCCCAGAGAAAACAAATAACGCAAAAATATTTTGCAGATTATCACTGATAATCCTCGAATTAAGCCTGCAGTAAGCTGAAATTAAGCTTCATGCGCACACAAAACACAAAACCAACTTCACAGAATCAAAGAACCAATCAATTTCCATTGATTATATATATAGCGGTTAATTAGCGGCAGAAGAAGATATGTGAAGATGATAGATATGCATGTAGTAATGAAAAATGCAGAAACAAAACTAGGGGTTTTTCCAGATCTTCTTCTTCCTCCTCTTGTCCTACATGGAACAAGAAAAATAGGTATACATATCATCCGCTCACATGCAATATAATGTACGGTCTTTGCCCATTATTCTGGCCACAGCCAAAAGCTATGCACTGTACAGATTAAAGAAGTAAAATTGCCCTCAAACTCAGATTATTTTATCTGCATGATCCAAAAATGAATATAGGGTGCAAGTCATTTAAATCTAGCTTGGACGATTCAAAAATCAAAATAGATGCAAACACGTACGTACGTACGTACTTTTGCATGTTCCCTATCATACTGTGCATATGTCTCTTTACAAGAAGTGATATATATATACACACACACACACAAATTATTTGATTGATTACTGAGAAAATGAGTCACACCTTTAGTTAACGGATAGATAGATTCGAATACGAATCCAACTCAAGAATGATGGAATAATTTGAACGTAAACTTCTGGTGAAAATTGAAAGAAAGCTGACAAGTGACAATTTCTTATAATCTGCTGTGACAATAAATCCCTGTGAAAGTCAAAGTCGGTGGAACCCACACAAATATTATAAGGGGTGTGTGTGTGTATAATTAAAACAACACACCACAAACTTAATTATTCAACGCTTTACTTCTAAGATTTGCAAATTAGGCACATTGTTCATTTTTAACTCTTTGTGAAGTGCACTGCTTAACCTTCTGATTATTGACTATACCAAGAAGCTGCCGTCTCAATAACTATGTGTACTTCAATTGATTGGATTCCTTAATTGGTTTCCTTTCTTTATTTTCTCTTGTTACCAAACATATATAGTAAAGCAGCCAAACATGTCCACATGTGCTTTCTTCTTGTTTCCTAAGATTGTGTCCCAATCATTACCTGTACTAGGCATTACCCTGTCTTACTACTGCCTCCGGTTCTAAATGTTAGAACTATATGGGGGGTTTATTTTAATTCTAAATATAATATCCCAATTCACTTTATATCTAAAATTTATATTATTTTTTAAACTATCCTTATTGATACACATCTTAAAAGAGGGCTTCCGCAGGTGTAAATGACTATTTAGGGGTATCTTAAAAAAATCAACATATAATTAACTAAATAATGTTCTTCATATTTATAAATTAGCAATCGAGATCCTACATATAGAATAAGAGGGAGTATATTAATTTAATTAGCCCCACTATCCTATGAACTTTAGTAAATAACAAACTTGGGGTAGACATTATCACTTGAATAAATTTATGCTGAGATTATCACTTTTTTAAGGGTCAACTTAATATGATCAAACTCCAAATTATCACTAAATTAAAAACTACAAAGTCAAGACACAACTTGACTACTACTATTCTATTATTTTTATTTTTATAATAACAACATAGAATTCGACTTCCAAAGGGGTAATAATATAAGTCATCCATAAGAAAATTGGGAGCTCTTATGAGGCCAATATGATTCATGTGTGATCAATGATTTTGAAAGATCAAATGAAACCAACAATATAATTTAATGAATTGTTGTAAGTTCATTCACTTCTTTTAAATTATTTGACTCTATTAGATAAGGACTTTGGTTTTATTTGGTTTTTTTCTTTGGATCAATTTTCTTGTTTATTTGTTCATTTCTGTTGACTTGAGTGTGGATAGAGGGACTTCATAAAAATAAAAAAAAAGAGTCAGTCAAAATCATCAATCACTAGTTTGTATGAATTTGTAGAAATTGGACTTCCAAGTTAATTTCAAGATTTTGCTTTCATGTATAAATATTCTTCAAAGTTGTGGGGACATGAAGCAAAAATTGTCAAACTAATGTTTGTTAAATGGAGAAATATTTACAATAACCTAGCTACTCCGCTTGCTCACCAGTTTTTTGTTTGATAGCTATAATATTATTGTTCACCAACAATTTTTTCCCCTCTGTATACTTCAAACAGTCCGCAAGTAAACCATATTGTGCACATTTCAAACAATTCATTCCTAATGTAACGGAAAGGGGAAAAAAGAAAGAAAAAAAGCAAGTGATATACTTTTTTTAGTTCTCTAATCCGAATACCATTTATCTCAAATAATAATTTTTTGTGATAAACATTGTCAGTTTAAAAAATTAAACTTAATATGTAAGAGTTTAATTAAAAATATTTTGTGAAAATTTAAAAATTCTATATCATTGTGTTTTAATTTGTTAACAAAACCAACAATATCAGTGTTAGAAAACTGCGAAGACACTTTATAAACTGCGGAATTTTATACAAAATTAAAGGATCAAGCTAAAGATTACTTTTGCCAAAACCTAAATATTTCATATCTTGTGTGCGGAAGACATATTGATATTGGTATGTTTTTTTTTAAATTATGATACAGAATGGGCATAGAAATTCAATTTATAATCACATCTCAAGAAATCGTAACCTTAAAGACTTCATATTTAATCCACCACTAATATTTTTCCCTTCATGAAGATGCATGCAACACGCGCGCGCGCGCGCACTCGAATCTAATAATAACTACATACATGCCCTATCTTCACTACGTACAGAGATTAATCCATTAAACTAAAATGAAACTATTAAATGCTAATTAACTATTAACAAGCTCGATTCACATACTACCTTCTATCCTAATTTACAAACGAGGTCTTATAATTAGGACTGGAGATAGTATTAGAAAGTTAGGGAACCTAAAGCCCAAAAAAAGACACAAAATATAGAGTCTCCACCTGATCAAATTAAAACTAACCTAGCTATATTATGAACAAAATCCTTACAGACTCAGAAACCAGAACTAACATTATTAGCCCACATGTGTACATCAGGCAATCCTATGATTAGATCAGATGATGGCTGTTGAGGTTCCAATCCAAGATCCTTCTCAATCTCCCTGATCCACTTCATAGTTTCAGCATCTGAATGAACCTGATGATGATCTGACACGAAGGATCCTCCTCCTATGTTGCTGTCATCATCCAGCATGTTCCAAAAATCATCGTCTGCCTCCAATGGTATTTCAAGCAAATCAATAGTGTTATCATTAGCTGGCTTGTCAACAACCTCGTTTAGTACTGTATCACTATAATCATTATTATCTGGCCCTCCTTGATACAATGAAGAAGAACCTGCTACAACTAGTTCCAGCTGATTATCGTCTTGTAATTTGCAGATAGTTGTTGATGATTGATCAGTACAACACTGAAAGGAACTTGGTGAAGAGGACTCTTTAGTGGGATTTTCAAAGTTCTGCTCATTATTGTCTGCAGTTTTCTGAGGAATTAATGTTGTCGCTTCTTGGCGTCCAGTTGAGGAAGACGACGAAGAAGAGGTTATGCATGATTCTTGCTTGGACTGATCAGTGCTAGTGGACAGGTTGATATTATTATCTGAACTGTTCTTCGATAATAATTTCTTCTTCAAATGGGTGTGCCACACATTCTTGATCTCATTGTCTGTTCTACCGGGCAACTCGGACGCAATTTTTGACCACCTGAAATGAAGAAACTTGGATTTAAGCAAACATACACACAGACACACGCGCACACACATAGACTACTTTGGTTTGCAATAATGATGCAATAAAATCCATCAGATCAGACATGGAATTATAAAGTAATAAAAGATGTCTTTTGATGAACAGGAGACAGAAGAAGCTAAGCTTACTTGTTTCCTAAGACTTCATGAAGCTTCATTATGGTTTCTTCTTCTTCTTCTGTGAAGTTTCCTCTCTTCACATCAGGCCTTAGGTAGTTGATCCATCTCAGACGACAGCTTTTTCCACATCGAAGAAGCCCTGGGGAGAAACACACAGAGATATACATATCAAACATACATTCAACGTAGATTTTGAGTGGTTTCTGCTTCTACCTACGTACTGCCATTTTCTGATGTATATTCTGGTTTTAGAGGACATGAAGCTTTCATACTCATCCTCTTCCACTTCTCACTGGTTTTGATATGCTCATGGGTTTTTTCTTGCAAAAACAATTCAGACAATATATATTTTTAAAGAAATGTGGAAATCAAGAGTGTTTTTGTAATGATCGAGGCTCCAAAGTATGAAGAGACAATATGACTGGTGGAATTTGACCTGATAATAAAAAAATTAAATGCTTGTGTGTGTGTGGGTGTGTATGGAATGAGATTGAAGCTAGGTGGTGGCAGATGGGCCATATTAATGGTAGGTGAAATGCATTATCAGAAATTGGACATGATGATGAAGACGACGAAGATGATTATATTATTTTAATCTTAAATATTTGAGATGTCATTGTATAGGTAAAGGAGGACCCACAGCCAAAAAATTGCTGACCAAACTTGAAACTTTTTCATCGCCCTGTGAAGGCAGCCAAATGTCATCGCCTCCGAATTAATGAGCCATATATTAATTTTCAACGAAAAATAAATGAATCCGTCAATCTAGTTTCATTGATATTCAGAGACAAAAAGAAACAGTATATTACAGAAAGCAGTCTGATGAAGAAGACGAAGAAGAAGAGATTTGCAAATATGAACAATGCAAAATGCAGAAATCCCTGGAAGCTGATATATATCAGAAACGGCAAAAACCTTCCTCGTATATAGAAGTAAAACTAAATAATTCAAATGCAAAGTGAAGAAGGTCGAAATATGATTCAAGAACAAGAGTTCTGGAATTTTTCTTTACAAAACAACAAAACATAAGATACCTGCTTGCTTGGGGAGGGAACGCCAATTCTGATGACCATGTTTCTGGATGAAGGTGACGAGCTTAAGATCTTCTTGGGGACTCCAAGGTCCTCTCTTCACCTTGTTCTTATCACAGCATGGAGCTCTTCCTTTGCCCATTTCTGATATATGTCTTTCTGTCCACTGATGATCCTAGCTAGCCTCTAATATATACACACTTACACACACACACACATAAGTCCTCTCTCTAGATCTCTCTCTTTCTCTTTCTATCTCTACCTCTCTATATATGTTTTCTATGTTCCCATATATGTATATGTAAGTGTGGAGAGAGGGAGGGGGAGAGAAAGCGGTGAGAGTTTGAGGCCACAAGAGTGATGCCACGAATTTGGATTTTGTGGCACTAAAAGATACTTAGAAAGGAAAGGAGGGATTGATTGGATGTTAATTCTTTTAATGAAATAAATCATATTCATTTAAATTTTATTGTCTTTTTCAGTATTAATGAGATTTTAAGTCTTCTCTTGTTGGCCACTAATTGTGTATTCCAGTCTGATTTTTTTTTTTTGGGGCTTATGTTTTTATGATCGGAAGTTTAATTTATTTCCATGTGGATCAGATTATTTGAGCAGTCAAATCCATTATTCTTTTTTTTTTCTGAAAACTTATATCCCTCTTTCCCCTTTGTACGATGTCTGCATATATACTCCCAAAAACTTTTCCTATTCTGTTAAATGTAGAAAAATGACGTTTCAATAATTAAAAATTAATTTTTTTGCCCAAAAATATTTAAAAATTAATTAATAATAAGTGTATCGTAAAAGATCTTAAATATTAAAATTTTTCCTAATTATGTATTACCCTTTTGTTATAAAAAAATATTTTTGTGATATAACAAAATTAAATTATGAGTTCAAAAATTTTCTCTAATCACTACCCCAGAAATGTAAATAGTTGTCTCTATTGTCATCAATTCTAAAACTAATATATCGTCAACAAAGAGGAAGGTGGCAGAGAAAATAGTTGGTGGTTAATAGTTGATGGAGAAAATAATTAACGATAATATTAAGAAGTGGGATATCTTCAAAAGGATAATTTATTTCTTAATCAAAAATCAATGCTTATCAATTTTATAATCATTGTTAGGTCTTGAATTGAGTGTATTTTTACAAGATATTATTTTAGGTAAAAGTTGTATGCACGCTCATTTAATTTTAACAAAAAAAATTGGTTCATGAATACGAAAAATCATTATTTAATTTGAATTTTTCTATTTTCTTGCATGCTAATTTTGGTCTTCATCTAAGTATCTCTTCTTTTTATGTTCTTCTTTTTCTAGCAACAGTAAATTAAATGTACGTACAGTGATGATATATTAATCAATTTTGGGAGAAAATTCCTGATTTATAATTATTATATGAGAAAATTTTTATAATCCCTAAATTCAAAGATCTTCATCTTCTCTGGTTCATGCAATTTTATGTCAAAAATCTGAACTATTCATTTCATACAACTTAAGCACAAACTTGGCAAGGATATTCTGAGGATTATTTCTTCCTGTATAAAAAATTATTATTATGTGATTCATGTACTTTATTAGTATTTTTATGTGTAGATTACATGTAATTCATGCATTTAATATATTAATTCAAGTAGTAAATATTTATCTAGTTTTTCTCCAAATAAGGTGCATATCTTTAATCAAACCTGTGGTATGTGAAATAAAGTATAATTGGCATAACTGAGGTTATTCATAAATTTTCATAGTTTATAAAGTGTACAAGCTCCTTTAAAATTTATATTAAATATTGATATGGGGTAAGTAAGTATTACAAAAATTATTTTGTTAGATCATTTCCCCTAGCATCTTGCACGGAGTTTGAAAATGAATTGTATTATTGTTGTGATTTACGAATAAATTGTGTACATTTTATATTTTAAAAAACTTATAACAAGTTGCCATATAATTTATAAACTATAAACATTTTCTTCTCTTCCATCTGATTTTCTGAGGTATAATATCTTGGCCACTTAGTTATACTATTTCTGATCTTTAATATAAGACCTTATTTAATTTTTATTTGGGTCCTAAAAATAAAACTTCAATCCACTTTCTCTCATATATATTTTTTTCAAAATAATCCTTTTACTAATATAGTTCTAGCTAATATAGTTGACTAACAAGGATATTTTAGAAAAGATAACACCTATTTGTTACAAATAACTAACTTATCTTATTTCTTTAATCTCTTCAAATTAATCAACTAGGTCGTTTAATTAGGACTGGAGTTAGTGTATATTATCATTAGGAACACTATCAATTTTCTTAATTTTTTTAAAAAAATTAAATACAAGCGGAATGTCGTAAGATTCAGGGTGTGCTTTCACGTCAAAGACGAGTCTCATGATTTAGGCCACCAGCTGCATGCAGCCTTAGTACCTTATTTTCTTCATCAATATAAATAATTATATTTTATCTAATGTATTATTATTATTAATTCCTTTTTCACTTGATCAAAATTTAACAACGGTCTCTAATATAATATTATACACTCAGTAGTCCGTAAGTTTACCAACATTTGAAAAGGACATAGCCCAGGGAGTTGGAAAAAATGAAATAAAGAAAATGCTTGCTTAGTTATTATTATATAATTATATGTGTATGTACTTTTTCAAGTCTGGGGTTGGAAAACTAACTTTGTAATTAGCCTTTTGTGCCTCTTTGTACACATACACACACACGTACCTAATATATTGACCCTTTACTTTCTTTTGTTTCAGTAAGGATTGGTCACTTGCCAATAATTAATGAAACATGACTGAATAATTAACTACACGACAACCCCAGGAAACAAAAACAAGAAAAAGAATATTCAAGAGAAAGTTCCCTGAAAATTTTCCTTATAGTACAAAATTTATTGCCCAACAATTCTTAAGGGGCCAGTTCTTTGAGCGGATGCAAACCCATCTTCAGCCGGCAGCGCAACACTTTCAGCAGCATATCTTTAGTTATATGTAAATATGTTTGTTTTGCACGTAGCTGAAAATATGTTACATACAATTAATAAGAATTAGGTTTAACAAAAGAGACTAATCCCTCACAATATGATAAATCAAAGTTTAAATTATACTGAGAGAAATACTCATATTTAATGCCCAATATTATCTCAAACAGGATTGTCTCCAATAGAAGGATATCTATGTATACTAAAAAATGTTGCATATAAGTAAAGATATGTTGCACACAGTTAAATATATATTGCACGCTGCACTTGGATGCTTAAACAATCAATAGGAGTTGGGTTTAATAAAAAGACTAATTCCTCACAACTTGATAAATCAATGTTTAATTTCTACTAGGAGAAGTACTTACATTTAGTACCCAATAGTGCCCTCACAAAAAAAATGTTACATACAAGTAAAGATTTTGTTTCACATATTATAATATATATATATATATATATATATATATATTGCACGCACTTAAAGATAAGCTGCACTTGGA